CTCTTCCTCTTCTAGTCCAATCCCTCTTTTCTCTCGTAACTCTTCCCCCCGAGCTAAACCTCTCGCCCTTTCATGGCTTCCTAGCGCCTACTTAGATCTTTAACAAAAAGGGTCGGAGGCGGCGCGAGCGAGCTTCGGGGTCGCGTCGGAATCGGACCGAGCCTGCTCTTCCGAGAGTTCGGGTGTACGCGATTGCCGTACAACCCGGTAAGGAATAAAACTCCTTACACCAGCTACGTACCGTAATCTCCCGGCATGATCACCCTAGGTCTTTTGGAAAAATCACTGAAAATCGTTTGGGTGGACATATTATAGGGAGGTAATCATTAAGACTCATAGACATTTATTTTCTACTTACGAGATTGTTTTTCGTATGTACACTTCAACACCAGCGGATTCTCGTCCTCAGCCTGTCGTAGACTCACGAGTCAAATTCCTGCTGTGGTCATTTTTCTGCAGGCCTACTGCAGGAACCCTTTGTGCTGACGCGGCGCGAAGGCATTTCTGACAGCTAGGTGCACAGGCAAACTGGGGCGCTTCGGACGCGTGACCAAAATCCGGGATTAAAAACGAGAACAAATACTCTCTTGAGGGAAATCGGGGGTCCTCAAATGATTTACCCCAAATAGTGGGTCCTCACAATCCCTTTACGATATTAAGACCCATGGTCCGGAAAAAAGACCCAGGGTCCCTTTTTCGAGGGGGGGGGGTAATCATGCCGGGAGAATACGGTACATGTATTTAGTGGCCACTTAAAACGAGAGACTATAATAGTGACACCCTTTTCTAGTTGGGCCCAACTAGAAACGTCCCAACAGTGAATATTTTTTTGGAGGGGCGTGTTAAATTATATATGTTATATAATAGTAGGCTTGGTAGATGTTGCTGAAACTTACTGTAGAGGGTACAACACCCCTCCTTGTATCCCTCTCTCTTCTATTATCGCTCTCTTTTCTCTCGTTAACTTTCTCCTAGCTAAACCCTCTCGCCATTCCATGGCTTCATAGCTACCTAGTCTCGTAACATGTTATCAGAGCGAGTTGCCCTTCCCGGGCCTGCTCCTCATGCTTCCACTGCGCACTCCTCCTCTCCCTCTCGCGCTGCCATGGCGGCCGCGTCGTGCTGCTGTGGCGGCGTCGTCGTGCCGCCGGCCGCGTTGTGCTGCCGCGACCATTTCGTCGCGCTGTCGTGGCGTCGACGTCGAGCCGTGGCGGCGTGACGGCGCTGTCGTGCTGCCGTGGCGACGTGCTGCCAGCGCGTGTGCGGCATGGTCGGCAGCGCCCAGCGCCCCGTTCTAGGCGCCGCCGGTCCTGACGCCCGCACGCCAGCCACGGGCGTGATGCTGGACCACGCCCTCCTCCTCCCCCCCCCCCCCCCCCTTTTCCCCTGCGTCCCCTCCTCCTCGCCACAGCCGACGCCTGACTCGTGAGGGTCTTCCCCATCGTCGCGGAGCTTGGCCACGCCGCCGAGAGGGCGGGGGCCACTGCAGTCGCCACTGTCGTCGAAGCCGCCGCACGCCGCCGCCGCTGCCGCCGTCGCCATCTCTCGGGCCGTGGGGTTGGCCATGCCGGAGTAGTCGTGGCTGCTGCTGGGAATTGGGGGTGCTAGGTTAGGGGGTGTGGGTGTGTGTGGGTTCTTCTACTACCAAGCCTAGGGGGTGTGTTAAATTATATATGTTATATAATTGTAGGCTTGGTATGCATTACTGAAACCTACTATAGAGGGTACAACACCCGTCCTTGTATCCCTCTCTCTTCTATTCTCACTCTCTTTTCTCTCGTTAACTTTCTCCTAGCTAAACCCTCTCGCCATTCCATGGCTTCCTAGCTACCTAGTCTCGTGACAGGGCGGGCAGCAGCCCCCGTTTTTTCCCAAGGCGTAGGCCACGAAATCTAATTACGCTTGCGACATTTCGCACTGGCGACATATTTTACGACCATAGATTTGCATGGTTAGCATTTCGACCAATTGGGGCCTAGCCTCAGTTTTGTTGGAGTAGTGAACTGGGGTCCAACTTGAAATTCAAGTTGGGCCCACTTGGTGCAGCTTACAGGCAGTGGGGGCTGGGCGAAATGTGGCGCGCTACTTGCGATTTTGCCCTAGCCATTTTCCCCACCGTACATCATTTTTTCCCCGCCAACCAATCAGGTAACTGCAACTTCTCACCCAATTTCCCCTGCTTGCATTTCTTGACAGTGTTCCCTCTGCCCCGTCGTAGTTTTGTCCCTTAGTCGCAAAAACGAATGTCTGAGCCTTTTCAAGTTGGACACAGGCCTCAAATTTATAGGGTGTCTCACCCTGATTGCCCTTACCATCGGCCGCTTTTTCAGGATCACCCTGATTTTGTAATTGCATTTTTTTCGTGACCCTTAGTCAAAAAGTGTAAGATTGCTTTAACCCTGTTGTAGTAAGAGTACTTCTAGTTCTACCCTGACCAGACAGGGTATCGTCGAAACCACACTGAAACAGAAGAATGGCCCGCATATTCGACAAGTTTCTGTGTCCAGCTGGCATCGCACTGCATGTGTGATTCTGGCGAAGGGCCAATCAGGCCCCCCACACCTGCTCTAGCTCGTGTCGGACTGCATCTTTGATTTTGTCGAAGGGCCAGTCAGACCCCTCACACCTGCTCCAGCTCGCGTCGGACTGCACGCTTGATTTTGTCGAAGGGCCAGACGCCTCTCACACCTGCTCCAGCGCGCCTCGGACTACAAAACGTGTGTCATTTTGGTCAAGGGACAGTTACGCCCGATACATGGGTTGCGCAACTAATCGAGGTTTCGCAATCCTGTCTGGTTACCGAGAGCGTCGAACCTCGCACGCCGTGTGAAAGATGGGTTGGACTGATTTTAGTTGGGTTATTTCGCCAGTGGAGCAACCCGGGTTGCGGTCTCGACGCAAAGCACAACCCATGTACCACACCCTTACATGTGCTCCAGCTCGCCTCGGACTTCCTGCATGATTTTAGTGAAGGACCGATAATGTCCCTCACACACGCTAAGAAAGCTGGAAAATTACAATTTACTGTGGAGTGGACATGGTGATAATTTTAGTACCCTTTGTTAAATTATATATTGTGTTATATAATTGTTAGGCTTGGTAGGTTACCGAACTATACTGTAGAGGGTACAATCCCCTCCTTGTATCCCTCTCTCTTTCTAGTTTACACTCTTTCCTCTCGTTAAACTCTCCTAGATCTTAGCTCCTAAACCCTCACGCCATTTCATGGCCGCCCTTCCTTCCTAGCTAGTCTTTTAACATGGTATCAGAGCGAGTTCCCCCTCCCGGGCCTTCTCCCCACGCTTCCGCCGTGTACTCCTTCTTTCACTCGCGCGCTGCCATGGCGGCCGCGTCGAGCTGCTGTGGCGGCGTCGTCGTGCCGCTGGCCGCGTCGTGCCGCGGCCGTCTCGACGCGCTGCCGTGGCGTCGATGCCGCTCTGTGACGGTGTCGTCGCCGCGCGACGCCTGTGGCGCCGCTAGATCTGCCGTCCCGCCAGTAAGCATCGCTCTATCCATGGCGCGTTGCTGAAGACGCGCCTGCCGTTCCGCCAGTAAGCGTCGCGCCATCCATGGCGCGTCACTGATGACTCGCCTGCCGTCCTGCCAGTAAGCGTCGCGCCATCCATGGCGCGTCGCTGAAGACCCCCCCTCCCCCCATTTTCCCCTCCTCTGCCTTGCCATCTCCTCCTCGCCACAGCTATCGCCTGACTTGCGAGGGTCCTCACCGTCGTTGAGAGTGGACACGCCGCCGAGAGGGCGGGGGCCATTGCCGTCGCCGCTGTTGTCGAAGCCGCTGTCGACACCGCTGCTGTCGCCGCTGGCCGTTGCTGCCGCACGCCGCCGTCGCCACCGCTGTCGTCACTGCCGCGGCTGCCGCCGTAGCCATCTCACGAGCCGTGGGATTGGCCCCACTGGAGTAGTCGTGGCTGCTGCTTGAGAATGGGGGTGCTAGGTTAGGGGGTGTGGGTGTGTGTGGGCTTAGCACCCCCACGAAAATACTTTCATTGACCTCGGCACCCACCCTGTAAGCGCACCCATAAGGGCAAGGTGCGAAGACAACAAGCACAAGGTCCTAGGCAGAGCGAACAATATAAGATACAAGGAAAGGTGGGAGATCAGAACCCTATGAACACAAACCAAACGTTACGGAGAAAAGCCAATCAACTTCAAGTTTAATGCTCCCTGTTGAAGCTTGTCTACGTCCATGCTGCTTGTCTGTCGTCGCTTCGGGAAACAGACTTGCACCTGGCAGAGAAAAAAAAAACCTGTACGCTGTTACGACGCAGGCTGTTAGCAAGCGTTGACTATAAGGGCAGGAAACGTTGTGCGGGCCGAAGGCGGTAGAACCATGCCTAATGGCTAGTTTCCTGGTCCTTGAGCAATCCTAAACATATCCTACCCAAAAGCTGACACCCTGTACATTCAGGGTACTCATATTTTTTTTTATAAATTTACCCTGATTTTCAAAGGGTGACTAAAATTTTACCCTAAGAGAGGGTAATTTGTTTTAGGTACACTGATTACTGAGGGTGACCCTAAACCAATTTTGAGCCCTGGTTGGACCCGCCTTCACTATTTTAACCTCTCGCTTTAAGGGAGAAGAAGAAAGCCAGAACAGAAGCGATTTATTTGAACTTGTTTAAGTATACTCGACCCTAAATATGTGGTTCACTTCAACAGAACTCATTACAATTTTTGAGAAGATTAAAATCATTTTTTTCATAATTCAAAACTATGTTATTTGATTGTTGATAGCATTAAAGAACAATTAAGAGGATCAGGAAACATTTTTCATGAGAATAATTTGATTGCAGATACATTCTAAACAATGGATGACAAACGTATATGATCCTTGTACATTTTTTTGGAACTTCTCAAATTAGCATGTGTTATTATTACTTCCGTCATGTTGAACCTGAACACCCCAAACCTTCGACCAGCAGCGAGGATTGTTCCACCGCAACCCTGACGCGAAGTCCTCTCCCTTCACTTCACCCTTGCTCTACGACCCTCGTTCTGCAGGCTGCTACCACCTGGTTTTCCCGGATCTCGTTTCTAAGCTTTGCTCCACCTCTCTCGCTGGCAGCCTTTTGAGACGCCTCCAACAGTTAGCGGTCTTGCTCGGTGCAGCGCGTGTTCTCTGGCAGACCTCGAGACAGAATCATGATCGCGTCAGGTGGGGCGTCGGAGCGGGAACGGCGGCCGACGGCGAAGATTCTCGTGTGCAAGGACTACGCGCGTGGCCGGTGCTCCAGGAGCGACTGTCGCTTCGCGCATACATCTAGCACTCTCGGCGTGGAGGCCACCGATGAAGGGTAGAGCCCCGTGCAGCCCCACGCGACGCCTCGTTCATCTACTAATCTCCTCTCGATTGTCGCTGTCTAAACTGATAAATAATAATAATAATAATAATAATAATAAATCGCCTCTTCACTTCTCTCTCCTGCCTCTCCAGCTTCACGATTCGTGTGCTTGTTCACCTGCTTCCCCTCGTCCACCCGTCAATCTTGCCACTCAACACCCACATTTCCGCGACGGTTTTTGTTTTTGTTTTTGCCTTCTCTTTCCGTTTCGTTTTTTTGGGGGGGGGGGGTGGGGGGGGGTTGTTTCTGATCTATTTTGTGCGGGATTCCTTGTTGGTCCTCTCGTGGCGGGGTGGCAGGGATGTGGTGTCGGTGTGCAACGACTTCCTGCGCTCACGCTGCGCGCGCTCCACGTCGTGTCGCTACTTCCACCCGCCGCCGCATCTTATTAGGTACCGGTCGACCCTCGACAGCTCTGCAACCCACCCTCGGGCATTTCAAGCCGAGAAGGTGTGGCTGGTGCGATGCTGTTCTCAAGCCGAAAGGAGAAGGGTTCCGCTGGTTTGATGTAGTTGTCGCTGTTATTGTTATTGTTATGGCTCATGCCGACTATTCAGACCGCTTTTGCCGAAGCCATTTCTCCGCGAGACCTCCAGTCCAGCCAGTTCCTCCTCTGCGTCCACTGGTCTCTGACCTTTACAACCTCCGTAAAACCCCTCCCCCTCTCCCTCTCCTCCTGCTGCCCCCCTACTTCTATCCTTGCTACTTTATCTCTATCCCCCTCCCCCTCCTCCCTCCTCCCCCCACCTCGGGCCCCCCTCTCCCGCCCCCATCCCTGCTCCTTTCCCACCCTTCCCCCCCCGGGCCAGTTCACTGGCGAGCAAGGTGGGCATCACGCTGCCAGGGGACGGCGCGGACATGCAGTCGCAGCAGTCCTTCCTCCCCGTGCCCGCGCCCGCTTTCCCCGACGTGCGTTGCGCTCCCGCCTCGCCGCCCTGCCTGCCCGCTCTCTTCTTCTCCCCGTTCCCCTCCCCGTTGCCCCTTTTCGCCCTCGCCTCTCAGCTTATAGTCCTGCCTCCGCTGTGCCAAGTCGCACCGTCGTCGTCTCGCCCCACGATTTTTCAGGCACCTCAAAAGCAGATATTTGAGGCGCTTCAAAAATCGTTTCCCCCTTTCAGCCCATTGTCCAGCCTCCTCCGTGCCAAGTCGCACCGTCTTCGTCTCGCCCCACGCCCCCGCTTCGTCTCTGTCACTCTCCTCTTGCCTTGCTCTCTGCGCTGCGTTCCTCCCCCGCCTGCCTGACAACGCCCTGCCGCCCGTTCCCTTCCCCACGTCACCACAACGCCACCACCTAGGAGCATCACCACCGTCTCTCGTACTTTACCTTCCCTTCCCTTTCACCGTCTTTCAACCTATTCTGTTCGTGTCCGCCCTGTCTCTCTCCGTCTCTCTCTCTCCCCGTCCCCAGGTGTACGGAGCGCCCTCCGCATATCTCGCCGCGGCCTACCCACCCATGGCTCCCGCCTCCCGTCTCTTCACTCGCCCTGCGCTCGAGGTGTGCCCGCCCTGCCGTCTCTCAGGCTCCTCTTCCTCCCCTTGCCGCCTCTGTGCTGTGTCGTCTTACTCCCGCCCTCCTCCTCCCTTCGTCTTCGCTCCTTCCTCCTCCCGTCATCTCGTCTACTTGCTCTCAGGGTTCGGAGGCCCACGTCCCCAGTCTTCCGCTTGCCGTCTCGCCAACTCTTCCTCTATGTCTCTCCTCCCACCCTTCCCACCTCTCCTACACACACACCCCCCCCGGCTGTTTCCTCACAACCCCTTACAACCCTCCCGCCCTTCCCCCCTCTTTTTCCCTTTCCCCACCCCCTCTCCCCCCTCTTTCCCCTCCTCTCTCCCCCCCCCCTCCCCCCCCCTTTCCCCTGACACCAGGTGTGCCGGGACTTCCTCAAGGGGCGGTGCTCACGGGACGCCTCCGCCTGCCGCTACGCGCACACCAACCCCAATGCGGGCGACGGCAACCTCGTCACTGTCAGTCCGCTGCCCGTGCCTCTCTTCGCCTCTCTTCCCCCGCTCCCCTCCCCCCCCCCTTACCCCCTCCTCCCCCCTCCCTCTTTTCCCACCCGCATGGGAAAGAGGACCGTGGATGCCCCCCCTAACCCCGCTCGCGTTTTTCGCATTCTCCTTCCCTCTCTCCTGCACTCCGTCACCCCTTCCCCTCATATAGGAGTGTTACCCCTTCTGATCCCTCCCGCCTCCGTCCCTCTCTCTCTCTCTCTCCGCTCCGCGTGTATCCCCCCTGCCCCACCGCCCGCCTTCCCGCTCTCCCCCTGTGCTCCTCCGCCGCCCGCCCGCCCTCCCGGTGCGCGTGCACAGGTGTGCCAGGACTTTCTCAAGGGCCGCTGTGAGCGCCCCACGTGCCGCTACTACCACCCGGAGGAGCACCTGCGCGCCCGCATCAAGGATGTGAGTGAGCCACCTGCTCTGCCATGCGTGCACGCATGCACGCATGCATGCCTGCCTGGGCACACGCATGGGGGTTATGGCTGGGACAAGGAAGCATGGTTGAGGGGCGATGCAGCAGGGTTGCGCCTGATATGAAATATTTCTGTTCTCGGAACTCCAGTTGTTGTTTTTGTTTTTCTCCTTTGTCGCTATTCCACTGTCCGCTGCGCTTGTTGCTACGTCACTTGGCCCCTCTGCCCCCCCCGGTTTTTCCTCCCCCAGCCATCTCTCCTCCCTGTTCTCCTACCCCCCTTCCCTCCCTCTCATTCACACATGAGTGCACCCACACATACTCCCTCTCCCTCTTTCCCCAACCCACAACCTCCGCTCCCCTTACTTCCCCTCCCCCCCCTCCATGCGTGTATCTGTGTGCGTGGTGGCAGGTGCCGGTGAACCGGCCCGGCCATGGCATGGAGGCGGACCCTCTGGGAGGCGCGTACCAAGCAGCGTACAGCGCGTATGCCGTCGCCAGCATGTATGAGAACCAGGTCCGTCCGACCATTGCCCGCCTCCTCTCGCTTGTCCTCGCCTCTACCCCCCCATTTCCTCTCTCTCCCTTCCCACCCCCCGCCCGCCAACCTCCTCCCCACCCCCGGGGGAGCCCCGCCTCTTCGTTTCCATTCATGATGCTGCGCCTTCCAGCTTCCCTCCCCCACTCCTGCTCCCTCCTCCCCCGCGCCTCTTCTCCACCTCTCTGCTCTGCTGCTTGCTTTTGTTTGCCCTTGCTTCCTCTGACGTGTGTCTCTCTGATGCTATTTCATGCACCCTTGCCTTGGCTACCCAGTAACATTCTAATGTTGTCTTTCTGAAATTGTGATTTTGGGCTTGTTTGGGGAAAACTGGGGGGGGCGTGGGGGGAAAGAGGTGTGGGAAGGGCTGTGGGAGTGTGGGCGGGGCGGGGGATGGGAAGGGGCGCATGTGCATGTGTTCTGTGTGTGTGCATGTGAGGCGCGCATGGCATGGCATGGCATGGACATTTTATGGCATGGCATGTCATGGTATGGCGTGCAGGCGGCAGCTAAGAGAATGAGGGTGGAGGACGGGGGAGCACCAGGGGCGGGCAATTCAGCAGCGCTGGCATCCCTTGGCGGGGACGATGACAGAGTGCGCAAGTCAGGCCTAGATGTTGCGGTCCGTTGCTGCGTGCCATCTCATCCGCTTCATCTCACCTCATCCGCTTCATCTCACCTCATCCGCTTCATCTCACCTCATTCGCTTCATCTCACCTCATCCGCTTCATCTCACCTCATCCGCTTCATCTCACCTCATTCGCTTCATCTAACCTCATTCGCTTCATCTCACCTCATCCGCTTCATCTCACCTCATCCGCTTCATCTCACCTCATCCGCTTCATCTCACCTCATCCGCTTCATCTCACCTCATCCGTTTCATCTCACCTCATCCGTTTCATCTCATCTGCCTCTCCTCTCACCATGTCTCCATCCCCCCCTCCCCCCCTTCTCCCCCTCCCCCCCACCCCTCTTCCTGGACCCTGTGCCTTCGCCATCTGCCTTCTTTTTCTGCCCGCCGCGCTTGTCGCTCCCTCACTTTCCCCAACCCTCCCTCTCTGTCCCCACCCCACCCCCTTCACTCCTTTGCTTCCGCTCCCTGCTCCAACTACTCCCCTTGGATGTTTGTGCTCACGACTGCCTCCCACATGCTTTCTCTCATCCTCTCTTCTCTCTCCCTCTCTTCTCTCACACGCCCCATCCCACGCCCCATCCCACTCCCCATCCCTCGCCCCATCTCACGCCCCATCCCTCTCGCCTCTCCCCCATGCGCCAGATGCCGTACTACTCAGCGCTGCCGCCCATGTACGGCTCGCCCGCCATGCACCAGCTGCCCATGGGGGGGGGCTACCTGCCCTCGCCCTTCTACCCTGGGGGACCGCAACACTCCCGTGCGTTCATTTTTCTTCCTCGCCTTCTGTGTTCTGCACCTCTTAACCTCTCTCCCGCTTTCCATCTTTATCATTCTCCCTCCGTTATCCACCCTCTCCTTGCTCCGGCCGTCCCACCCCTCCCCCCGTTCCCCCTCTCCCCTCCCCCTCACTCACTCACACACCCATTCATACCTGCTCACTCACTCATCCTTCTCTCGATTTCTCGTTCCTAGGGGCTGCTTTTCGCCCCATCCCATCCGTTCGATGCAAAAAGATTACTCGTTTCAGAGGAACACAGTGCCACCTCTCCCTCACTTCCATCGAGCGCCCAAGTTCTCTGTATCCCACTCTCTTTTCCTCCTCCCGTGCTCCCCGCCCCTCCTCCTCCCGTGCATATCACGTCCCTCCGCCCTTTCCCCTTGGTCCTGGCCCTGGCATCGCCTGGCTCCGTGGCTCCGTGGCTCCGTGGCTCCGTGGCTCCCTGGCTCCGTGGCTCCGTGGCTCCGTGGCTCGTGTTGTGTCGTGCGCTGGCATCGCACGGCATAACAAATCATGTTTCGCCATGGCGGGTGCTGCCCCCACAGGTGCGCCGGTGTCGCAGGACCGGCTGCCGGTGTGTCGGGACTTCATCAACGGCAAGTGTGTGCGGGGGGCCTGCCGCTACGTGCATCCCGACGACCATGTGCAGGTGGGGGCTCTCCCTGCCACCTGGGCTCTCCCTGCCACCTGGGCTCTCCCTGCCACCTGGGATCTCCCTGCCACCTGGGCTCTCCCTGCCACCTGGGCTCTCCCTGCCACCTGGGCTCTCCCTTCCACCTGGGCTCTCCCTGCCACCTGGGCTCTCGCTGCCACCTGGGTCGTGGGGCAGAGGGCGGTGAAATGGCTATGTCGCCTGCTACACTACACCCTCGCCCTTCTCCTGTCTATCCTCGTAAGGCCTTGATGTGCGTCTCACCATGGCTGTGCTTTGACGCCATGGTTGAGCTGTGACGCCTTGACCGTGCTGTGACCCCATGGCTGTGCTGTGACCCATGGCTGTGCTGTGACCCCATGGCTGTGCTGTGACCCCATGGCTGTGCTGTGACCCATGGCTGTGCTGTGACCCCATGGCTGTGCTGTGACCCCATGGCTGTGCTGTGACCCCATGGCTGTGCTGTGACCCCATGGCTGTGCTCGACCCCATGGCTGTGCTGTGACCCCATGGCCGTGCTGTGACCCCATGGCTGTGCTGTGACCCATGGCTGTGCTGTGACCCCATGGCTGTGCTGTGACCCCATGGCTGTGCTGTGACCCCATGGCTGTGCTGTGACCCCATGGCTGTGCTGTGACCCCATGGCTGTGCTCGACCCCATGGCTGTGCTGTGACCCCATGGCCGTGCTGTGACCCCATGGCCGTGCTGTGACCCCATGGCCGTGCTGTGACCCCATGGCCGAGCTGTGACCCCATGGCCGTGCTGTGACCCCATGGCCGTGCTGTGACCCCATGGCCGTGCTGTGACGCTCTCCCCCCCTCCCCTCCCCCTCCCCCTTGCACTTCCCCCCACTCCCAACAGCATTTTTTTTTGTGACCTCCACCGCGCTTCCCATTTCCGCTGCTTCTCGCCCTTCTCCCCCCGTCCCGCCCCCCCCATTTCCCTCCTTCTCGCCTCCTCCACTTTCTTTCACACTCTTCTCTTCCCGTCTCCCGTCTCCCTTGTGCGCGCCCGCAGGTGGTGGATGGGCATGTGACGCTGTGTCGCGATGCTGCGAGGAACAAGTGCGAGAGGGAGCACTGCCGCTTCTACCACCCCCCTTCCTCCGCCAAGGGCAGCGGAGGAGACGACATGTAGCTTCGCACTCCAAGATCTACACTTTCGGCAATCCCCACCTGTAATGCCCAGACATCACATAGCACCATTCCTTCCTATACCCCCCTGCTCTCCCCTCCCCTCCCCCCTCCCCCTTCCCCCCTCCTCCCGTCGATTCCTCCTCCCGTCCCTATTCCCCGCTTTCACCTTTAATCCCCCCACCCTCATCCCTATCTGCTTGGCTCCTTTCTTGCCACTTGAACATGCTACCTTCGTACGTTGTACGGCGGTTACCTTGGCCTGCGCTTTCGCACGTCTGCACCTTTTGCTCTTGCTCTTGCTCTTGCTCCTGCTATTGCACTTTGCCCCTTGTGCCGTGCCCCTTGCCGTTGCGCCACCCTGCCTGCCCTGCCTGCTCCGCTCTCCTGCCTGCTGTGACCATCACAATCGCAGGCTGCTGCTGCTGCGGTGCCGCGCTAGCTCTATGGCGCTCACCTCCCTCCCTTGGCCGCCGCCGCCGCCGCAGCCGCTGCCGCCAGCGTCGCCAGCGCCGCCTGCTGCCACTGCCGTTGCTCCCCGGCTGTGCTGCTGTCGCTGTCGCTGTCGCTGCTGCTTCTGCTGCTGTTGCTGTTGTTGCTGCTGACATGCCGTCGTTCGTTCCGCTGCTCTGCCTGCTGTGCTGTGCTGTGTGCGTTTCATGCCACCTGGCTGGCGGCGATGTGCTGGAAACGCATATGCGTGCAAGAGCACACGAGCAAGGCCTTATAGCATGATGAACCAGGCGTGCAGCGGGTTTACAGGCCTGCATGGCAATAGTTTAGAGTGCACCACACCACACATGCACATCCACCACACATGCACGTCCACACCACCACACTCCTTGCATGGACAGGCGCATCTGTCTTTGTACTACGCCTTGCTTCTTGCATGGTGTGTGTGCTGTGCGAGAAGTTGCTTCCCCTCGCTTCCCCTGTGTGTGTGCTTGTTCGGGCGCTGTTGCGTGTGTGCGTGCGTAGCGTAGGGTCTTTCCTTACTTTCCCTTGCCTGTCTGCTACCACCACCTTGCTCCATCACCATAACATAGTCTAGTGCTCTTCTTTCCAGTGCCTTGGTTGCGGCTTGTGTCCTTTAGGCCATGAGCGAATACAACTCTAGATGTCCGTCTGTCACTGATTCTCCTCCCACAGTTGAGTCATAGTCTAATGTAACATGTGCCATGTTTGCTTGAACCTCCCTGTTGACAATGTTGGGTTGGGCTGTGGTGGTCTTTTCTCATTGTGTGCTCGTCCTGCCCTCTCCCCTTACGAAGCTGACTAGTTATTAGAAACCTTACTCCCAGAGCAGTGGTGCTCCTTAATACAGTGTGACACTATTGCGCTGCATCGTGTAGGGCGTGTGGATTCAAGGGACCTGACTGCAGTAACTTGGTAGAAGGTGATTTGCAAGCGCTGATTCAGTGAATTGCTTAGGAGATTTGGTTTCCTTGGCATGGTATGGTTATTGTATTACCACATATGCTTCGTGCACCCCAAGGCCCTGCGGAAACAGCCTCCGACAGATTCCCCCACCTGAGAAATGGATGACGTAAACATTATATTTTTTAACACACGTAGTGTTTTTCAAAAATTGTGTATTGTGAAAGCGAAGCTGATTGTACTGAAGCGTTGGGCATCGTCGAAGCGCGCTACTCGCCCTTCTCCAACTACGTATACGTGGGTTGGAGCTCATTTACCTCCACCCACGTCTCTCATTTTTCAAACGGCTCAGTCTGTTCAAATTATATAAGTTATAATTTAATATAGGCTTGGTAGGTTGTTACTGAACCTTTCTGTAGGGGGTACAAACCCCTCCATGTACTCCCCTCTCTTCCTAATCCATCCTTCTTCTCTCTCGACACTCGTCCAGCTCCTAGCTAAACCCCGCCGCCACATTCATGGCGGCCTTGTTCCTGCCTAGTATCCTAGCCTAGAGTTACTTTAACATGGTAACAGAGCAGGCCGTTTCCGGTCCTGCCTTCCACGCTTCCGCCTCGTCCTTGTCTTACGTTTCACTTCGTACCGTGCCGCTGATGGCGGCCTTTCGTTTTCCTGCCGCCGTGGCGGCCTTGCCTTTCTGTGCCGCCGTGGCGACTTCTCTGAGATGCCGCGGCGGCTTAGTCGAGCTACAGTCGCACCTCCGCCTCGCCGCCGCGGCATCGACGTCGCGCTGTGGCGGCGTCTTTTGGCTGCCGTGGCGGCGTCATCGGGCGACAGCCGGCCGCGCATCCGTCGTTTGGCTGCCGTGGCGGCGTCATCGGGCGACAGCCGGCCGCGCATCGTCAATGGTGCCGCCGGACCTGCCGCCCGCTCTGCAGCCGCCGGCGTGATTCTGGACTACGCCCCGTGCCCCTCTCCCCCCCCCCCCTCCCCCCTCTCCCCCTCCTTCCCCTACTTCCCCCCCCTTCCTTGCTGCAGCCAACGACTGCCTCATGCGGGCCCTCCCCACCGCCAAGGTGACTGGACATGCCGCCGAGAGGGCGGGGGCCGCTGCACCAGCCTCTGATGTTCATGCCGCCGCTGCCGCCGCTGTTGCCGCGGGCCGGGCGCCGCCGCACGCCGCCGCCGCCGCCGCTGTCGTCACTGTCGCTGCTTCCGCCATTGCCGTCCCAAGGGCCGTGGGAGCTGCCCACTTCCGGAGTCGTTGCGGCTCCTGCTGGAAATGGGGGTGCTGGGCTAGGGGGTGTGGGTGTGGGTGTGGGTGTGGGTGTGGGTGTGGGTTTGGGGGTGTGAGTGGGCTTGACACTACCAAGCCTAGGGGGTGTGTTCAAATTATATAAGTTATAATTTAATATAGGCTTGGTAGGTTGTTACTGAACCTTTCTGTAGGGGGTACAAACCCCTCCTTGTACTCCCCTCTCTTCCTAATCCATCCTTCTTCTCTCTCGACACTCGTCCAGCTCCTAGCTAAACCCCGCCGCCACATTTATTGCGGCCTTGTTCCTGCCTAGTATCCTAGCCTAGAGTACTTTAACACAGTCAACTTTCCCGCTCTAGCTTTTTCTCCCGTTCAAGCTGGCTAAGACTAGAACTTTGCCTCGCGGCGAGTCTCCCTCGACTCTTCTCTCCGACATTTTTAAGTTTCACCGATCCGTCATGGCTCCAACTACGAATAATCGCGGCGAGTCCAACGTCGTCACCGGCCACCCCAATTCCGAGTCTACTCGCCAAGCCCCGGAAATTGCGGGCGACCGGCGCAACAAGCGTCGGGCAGAAGAAGGGGCGGCCGCCCCAACTGGGGTTGACGTTCTGCTGGGAGGGGACGAGGTCAACAGTCAGCCTGCTGACGCGCCCCCGCTCCCTTCTGAGCCACACGCGCAAGTGGCTGGGCAGAGCCAGCCACTCACGCCTGACGCCGAGCAGCAGCACGCGCCAGCCCCGCAAGTGGCGGGTCCTTCTCGCCAGCGCAAAAGGGGGCGCGCGGCTGCCTCGTCTGACGTGCCGCCCACCCCGACATTGACCCCCTCGTTGACCCCTGCGCAGGTCAACGCGCTGTTGACGCTGTTACAGCAGCAGGCGACGAGTGTTACGGCCGCCGAAACTGCTCAACCTGCTCCTTCTGAATCTGCTAAAAAAGAACCTGCAAAAACAGAAAAGGCCACACGCGGAACCAAGACGCCACGCCTCGCCAAAGACGCCGTCGCCAGCATCCCGCCTGCCCCGGCGGCCGACAACGAATGCGACGACTCCGACAATGACGTTGGTGAGTATCATAATTGAAAATTGAATGATAGATAGAGTGAGAGTACACAAAGATATACCTAAGTATTGTACTCTCTAAGAGGTGACCCTATACAGTCTATACAAATATGACAAGTACACATGTTTGATACACCCCCTAGACTGCATAGGGGAATGCCCTAAACAAACAGCTCAGGGCGGCACTACTAGTCCAACCTCTGAGACAAGGGTCTAAGAGACCAGTCAGAAGGAGTACAAACAAGGCAAGAACAAGGGCAGGGCGGCACTACTAGTCCAGCCACTGCGAGAGGACACAAGTCCAGTCTGAGTATACGTATAAAGGACAGTACAAAGTCAAGGTCCTAGCAAGTGAGAGGCTACAGGAACTAGACCAAGCTGTACACAGTGCCGCTGATGATCTTTAGGCGCAAGCGCCTTCGTAAAGATATCAGCCGTGTTGGCACCTGAGGCCAAGTGTACTACGCGAGCCTGACGTCGCTGCTGTAGCTCACGCAGGAGGAAGTACCGCAGCTGAATGTGCTTCGCTCTGCCCTCGAGTCGAGGCTCCTGACACAGGAGGATCATGGCCCTGTTGTCAGCGAACAGGACCGGGGCAGAGCTGGGCCGCTCACCTAAGTCAGTGAGCAAGAAGGTCAGCCAGCGGAGCTCCTGTGCCGCCATGGCACCAGCGTAGATCTCAGCCTCACAGCTGGACTGCGCTACAGACGAGGAGCGGGTAGCTCTCCACGAGACGGCAACTGAGCCAAGGCTGAAGCAGTAGCCTTGGGTAGACCTGAGCGTCTCAGCGTCGTCTGCCCACGAAGCGTCTGTGTGTCCAGTAAGGACCACTGGCCTGCGTCCTCCTAGCACTAACCCCATGCCCGATGTACTAGCAAGATAACGCAGAACCCTCTTAGCGGCAGACCAGTGCTGCGGTCGGTGTCTGCCTGTGGCCACAAAGCGAGCCAGGATGCTGAGAGGGTATGCGAGATCTGGGCGAGTGCAAGTCATCAGGTACATGAGGCAACCCACCAGCTCTGCGTAGGGGCCGCTGGGCTCTACCAACTCCTCAGACACTGGAGCGGAGAGTCTGTGGTCTACAGGCAGAGGGGTGGGCTGTGCAGAGGAGAACTGAAGGCTGAACCTCTGAAGGACCTGGCGCACCAAGTGTGACTGAGTCAGGGTGATGGTGCGCGCAGCTCTGTCCCTGGAGATCTGCAAGCCAAGGTAACGGCGCAGTTCTCCAAGGTCAGTGCACGTGTGTCTCTTCAGAAGCTCTACCTTCACGGAGGCCAGTGCGTCCCTGTCTGCTGTGGCAAAGACCAGGTCGTCGACGTAAACAAGGATGTAGAACGGAGTCTGGCCAGCACGAACGAAGAGTGAAGGGTCTGCGGAAGACGGAAAGAACTGCAGGTCAGCAAGGGTAGCACGAAGAGTGTCGTGCCACTCACGAGGAGCCTGGCGCAGGCCGTAGACGGGGCGCCGCAGGAGCCACTGGGTACCAGGAGGGAAGGTGCCAGTAAAGCCCGGAGGGCGACGCAGGTAGACCTGCTCGTGTAGGCTGCCCTGAAGGAAGGCAGTGGAGAAGTCGAGGGAGTGAAGCTCGTAGTCACGCTGAGCCGCTAGGTGTAACAGAACCCGAAGAGTAGTCATCTTCGGGGTCAGAGCGAAGGTCTGGAAGAAGTCCACCCCCTCGCGCTGACTGAAGCCTCTAGCCACATAGCGCGCCTTGAAGACAGGCGGCTCTCCAGGAGGGCGCTTCACCTTGAAGAGCCAGCGGCCATCGACTACGTTCACCCCAGGTGGGGGAACTGCGTCGACGAAGGTGCCGGTGGATCTCCAAGATGCCATCTCCTGCTCCATGGCAGCTATCCACTGTGAGGCCCAAGGTCCCGAAGTCGCCTCAGCGTAAGTGCGAGGGGTCGGGATGTTGAAAGCGTCTGGGTCACCCTCAGGGACTAGCAGCATGGAACAGAGATGGGGAGCAGCCTCGGAGAGGAAAGCAAGCTCGAACTGGCGGTCCTCCAGGACGTCACTGCCAAGGGCAGAAGCACCCCCGACACACGGAGGACAGGCAGGGTCAGAGACCAGAGCGGTGGCGTAGTCAAGGCGGCGGGTAGAGGCGAAGTCAGCGACAGCAGCGACAAGGGTGTCAAGGCACGGGACTGGAACAGACGGGTCGGTAACGAGAGAGGCAAGGACCCGAGGAACAAGAGGACGAGCGGCACGAAGGTAGTCAGACAGCGGGGGGGGTGCAACAACAAGGGAGGACGGAGGAGGCGACAGCAGAAGGGGAGGGCGAGACGCGTGGGAACGAAGCAACATAGGGTGGGAGCGCAAGACAGGCGAGGCAGGACGAGCACGGGAGGGGCGGTGAGACCAGACGTGCAACGGAGGAGTCGGGTCAGGAGACAGGGGAGGGGACACAGGAGGGGAACGAGGGGGGAGACGAGCCGGGGACGAGTCCGGCGGAGGAAAAACAGGGCCGTAGACAGGAAGAGGAGGAGACGGGCGGGGAGGAACCGACGCAGGGTCGGGGGACGGAAGGCCGAGCAGGAGAAGGGCGGACACCGGCGAGGACTGCTGCTGCGGCGGCACAACGGCGACACCTGGACCGCAAGCTGCTCCTCGGCTACCACCAGCACTCTCCACACCCGCACCCCCAGAGGGACCACCCCCAGGGCGACCGGGACGAGCACCCCCAGAGTCAGCGAACAGGTGCTGCGACGGCGGCGGCGGCGGCGGCGGCAGCGACAACGACGGCTGCAGCGGCGGCAGAGGCGGTGGA